AAAGTTTAAGAGATCTTTGTTCTGTATTCGATATCTGACTTTGCACTGTTTTAATTGACAGTTCAAGCGCACTGCATTGCACAGGGCATGCTCTGAAGGACATCTAGAGGTGGTGAAAAAGTTGGTGGAAGCTGGGGCCCAGCTTGAACTGAAAGACATGGTATGCCTATTGACTTATACTTCAGAAAAATTACTCATTTTTTTATAACTGCTAAAAGAAACACACAAGAGAGGAGCACTAAAAGGCCTTAGAGTGTCTTTTAAGTTTATCCTTAAAATAACACTGCTGAGAAGAGGTTTCAGGAGGAGGTGTCTGCCTCGCTTTGCCAAAGCTGTGCTGGAAATCGCAGGAAGCGGAGGAGCACATTGGCCAGTAGACGGCCTAGAACAGTAAGGCCCAAAGTATGGCAAGACTGCTGAGCTCAGGCTACCAGGCCAGGCTGTGAGCAGCTGGTGGAGATGCCATGGTCCCACGCGTTTATCAAGGGCCCAGCACAGCGTGTACGTTCTCCACCAGGATTTGAACTCTGCTCTCAGGAGAGACCTCCGCTCCTCTGGAACAGCTGAGCATCCACAGCTTTTGCAGCTGTTTTTATTTGCTCCTCCACGCCCAGCTCTGCCTAGCCCCTTGCTAACCAGTTGGCAGTGGCCAGCCTTGTTTCCCCTTGCATCAGCAGCCGTGCTGATGGTAGCATAAGAGCAGGAGTGGTGAGCAGAGCAGGACATGATGAGGAAATGGTGGCTCCCCTACAGCCAGCTGCAAGGAAAGGCTGGTATCGTGGAGGTGAAGGGCCTAAACAAGAGAGGCTGCTAGTAGAAAGGAACAATGATCACAGAGAAGTGCTTTAAGTTAAACTGCATGAAAAATGACTTTGAATTTATTTAGAAATGTGATGAAGTTTGCTTATTTATTGATTTTTTGTTGGTAATATGGTGAATTAAATTACTTTTATTTTTCCTGCCATAGCTTCAATCTACAGCCCTGCACTGGGCCTGCCGGGGAGGAAACCTGGAGGTTGTAAAGTTCTTACTGGACAAAGGAATAAACAGAAATGCAAGAGACAAGGTATGTTCTTCTGGGGCTCTGATGCTTTTTAGAGACAGAAAGCTGATCCCTACCAGAGGGGATCATTTTTGGCGGCCATTCATGATCAGCCCTTCACTGCTCCATGCCACTGACTGCCTTCTCTAACCCCCCTCAGCTGCTCAGCACGCCTCTGCACGTCGCTGTGAGGACGGGCCAGTACGACTGCGCAGAGCACCTCATTGCCTGCGAAGCAGACCTTAATGCCAGAGACAGAGTAAGTGCCACCACCTCCTTACCTGCAGCACCAAGCTCCTGGCCCCATTTACAGCTCCACAGCCCTGCAAAAATCCCTGGTGGTGCTGTGGGGTCGGGACCATGGCACTGATGGCAGGACGGACTCTGACCCGTGTCTTGCACCCCTAGGAAGGTGACACACCGATGCATGATGCCGTCAGGCTGAACCGCTACAAAATGATCCGGCTGCTGATTCTCTATGGGGCGGACCTGACCATAAAGAACTGCGTAAGTAATTCAAAACGCTTAGCAAAGCTTCCCATTCAGAGCAGTATCACAGGTTTTGAGGCCAGAAGAGACTATTGTGAACAGACTTAATTAGATCACTGCAGAGTTAATTAAAGCAGAGCTGACACAGAGAAAGTGTAACTTGGGGGAGGTCAGGGAGCAGCACAAAAAGCATTACCTGCTCTAAAACCAGAACCCATCAGGTGCAGCTAAAAACACCACCACATCTTATTTTAATTACACAGATCATATATTAAAGAGATCTAAGCATACAGACACTTGCTGTCTGTACAGCTCCTGGGCTCCAGCCACCAGAGACAGCGAGAGCCCTGGGGGTCTGTGAGAGCTCCTTTCTGCTACACCCACAGCATCGGCTTCCATTTAAGAACAAACACCCAAGATTTTGCTGATAGTCACTTCACCAGCAGCAGACGTGACCACATTAAAATACCAGATGTAACAGACCACATTCTCCCCCAAATCCAAAAAAATAACAGCAGCAGGGACAGTGCACGTTAACAACGTGGATCAATGCTTTTGATTGGCAATCAATTAAAACTGGAGGGGACAAGGAAGAAATCTGCCCCTGCAACCATCTGCACTGCCCCTTCTCTCTGCTCAAGCAAAGTAAGGCCACTTCACCAGGGTATGAAAATGAGGAAAATCAGTCCCAAAGGCAAAATACTTACTCTCTCAGGCTTTGTCTGCGTATAGAAGTTGCTCCTGTTTTATTTAGATGTGGTTCATAACCTCTCTAATTAAACCAACATGAACTCTTATCTGAATTCTCCATTAAACAGAAGAGTAGCTTATTGAGGTTTCACTTAAATGTACTCCCAATCAGTTTAGACTGGATCAAAAGAAACACCAGCATGCTCTGCTAGCCACAGTATTTGCTAACATGGCTTAGTGCCACTGAAACAGGACTAGATCTGGAGTGCCAAAGGACCCAGATCTGAGATGAGAGTACAGCTGACCCTGTGTGTGCAGAAAGCTCTCACATCAGACAGATGCACTGTACAAATATCTCAGGAGGAATAAAGGACTTAGTATTCACTGGCTGAAATTAAGTTTGGCTTCCCCTGCTTATTTTAACCAGGAAGGGAAAACCCCTATGGATCTCGTTCTTCAGTGGCAGAACGGCACCAAAGAGCTATTCAACAGCCTGAAAGACAATTCCTACAAGAGCATCCATCTAAATAAGTTTTGAAGAGATGAAAACCAGACTGCTCTTTTTGCTGCTTTTAAATGCTTCATATGAAACTTGAGGAAAATAGCTCTGAACATAGTATATTTATTGAAGATATTTATTGTACTGGAATATTTGAAATGCCTTCACTGAAAACTGCCAAACATGCAGATAAATTATTTTAAATGGCAGATTGAGTGTTAAGAATCCACTGGTTTTAAAACAGCTTTATTTATTCCTATTTATTATTTATTTATTTTAAAAGTAATTTTTAATGATCTTTTTTTTTTTTTTTTTATCGTTTTAAATTCTAATGCAGTCTTTTGTCAGTACCATGAACACTTTTGACTTAGATGGCAGTATTACCAACTACATTAGCAATTTACCTCAAGCCTTCCCATAGTGCTAAACAGCTAATACTTACAACTGTTGTCTTGTACCTGCCAAATTCTCACGATTAGAAAAATATGTTAAATATGTGGTGGTATGTGGAAGAGAGAGAGCCAGGGAAGAAGGGCTACTGAGATGCCAGGTGGATTTAGAGGGACAGTCGAGTAATGGGTCTTACACGTCATTTGGTGATCATAGTTGACAAAGAGCTCAAGGACAGAGCTCCAACCATCATGTAACTATACGGACTGCAGGATTCAGATGCAATGTTATGAAGGTGAGAGGAGACAGTACTGTGAATGGGAACTTTAAAATTAGATGACTACAAAGCCTGATGATTGAAGAATGCAAAAAAAACAGATGATGTATATTTGTAAATTTGTACTGCTTTTTCTGTACATTTTGTACTGATTTATTTCAGAATAAACGGAGTGGTTCTTTGTACTTGCTGGAGCGTATTATGGAGCAGTGAACATGCACCGGGCAGTTCTGTCTCTCATTGAGGTTCCCATCTTGGCTTCTGTAAAATTCATAAACTCAGAAAAAAAAGTCTCAGCTGCACAGAGCAGCCAGCCCTTTAGCTACCTCCCTGCCACTGTTAGAAAAATACAAGCTTCTAACTTTTTTCTCCTTACATACAAATGTACATACAAAAACAAAAAGCCAATACTTGAGTAGCTAGTAAGACACAAACCTACAGCTTTATTACTATTATTTAAAAATCCCAGCTTCTCAGCAAGTCAGTACTTACTGCGTGGAGCACACAAGACAGCTTCAATTGTCCCAGCCAAGGAAGATGTGGAGTCCTGCTAGGAAAGAAAGGCATCTCTCCCTGTGCTTCAGCAGAGGCAGAACAATCTTAACAGTACCACCAGCAGAGACATCGATGCCCGATTGCACTGGGACGTTACATGCTGCTTTCAGTTAAAGTCCTAACACCCCATGGAGCAGCCTCCCAGTGAAATATGCCACGGGCTCCCATGAACATTCACCAGCTGGTGAAGTTGGCTTCTAACCATCACACTTTATAGTCTGATCAAAACAAAGTCCTGGGCAATGAAGCGTGGTCAGGAGTGGGCAGCAATGAGTATTTATCACTGGAGCATCAATTTCAGAGATGGAGTGAATTTACAGAAACCCCATAGAGGAATAAGGAGAAGAAATGCCTATTCTATCTGCAACCAGCTATCTTAGACAGAAGCTGCAGCTTTAGACAGATGAGACTTCTCTCACACAAGCACCGTAACTTGTCAGTGTCACTTTGCCAGCTGTAGGCTTTATTTGTGAAGATGATTTTTTCCATAAGAACCACGGCATGTCTGCACTTGCTGTCCCTCTCTGCAAGCAACTACTTCACTTCTTGTTCTGCACCATTACCCAGACACTGGGAACATACCTTGCAGGAAACAGAAATGACCAGTGCTGGCTAACTCGTTTTGTTTATCTTCATAACTTCATAAGCAGATCAATTGTTCAGGCACCAGAGGGGACAGAACAATGCTCCAGGAAACGCAGGGGAAAACATATTTTTAATCAGTTCCTGAAGCACTGTATCTACTTAAAAACATGCATGCAAAGATGCAGGGACTATTTTTTTTTTTAAGGAAGTCAAACAAGACTTGATCTTCATCGTTCAAAAGCCTCCTTCCATATGCTAGTCACCAAACAACTTCTCTCATGCTCAGGGCTGATTATTTCCTCACCAAGGCACAATAACATGTAACTTAGAAAGTTACACTACCAGGCACATTTCCACTGATTATTTGGCTAGAGCTTCATTTTGGATGCAAGTGCATAAACAACAAACCAGTGTATATATTACATCTCAATACCAGTAATAAAACACTCACATCACAAAGTCAACGAGCAAAATAAAAACAAAGGATAAAGTATTTAATTATTTGTTCAATGAAGCACAAGCTGTTGTGACTCCCGTCAGCATTTGATGGAACTGTTAGCTTACTGAGAACTTCATTCTCATTCTGCTTAGTCCAGTTACTGAGAGCACAGAGATAATCCACTGCAAGATTTCTGCAGTATTTTACATGCTACAGCTTGCACTTCTCAGCTAGTTGTCAGATACAAATAGAGAATTGAAATATTCAGAGTAAAGCTGGCTCAAGAGTATCTTAAGTACAGTATCTTACTTTTCTTTTTTTTTAATATCGATTTAATCAAAAGAAAAACGTTGGAAGAGATCTGAAAAGGCTCCATGGATTACAAATCTGTTGTGACTGCTTTTTTGGCAGCCAGATTAGGTTTACTGAAGCAGTAACATGAAGGGATACAGAAAGGCAGGAGGCAGCAAAAGGAACACTCTTAGAGGCAACACTGCCAGACCAGGAAACGAAAAAAGGGACATGATGCAGTAACATTTATGTGATGTGGACACCACTCAGGCCTAGGTGAGACAGCTGAAACACTGCAACTACAGCATACCATGCTGAGCACACGTTCGATGTCACCTTGGGCTCTTCCTTCCATCTGCAGCAACTGTCTCACATTACTGTTTGGTTTCATGTGCTTTGGGACAGGGATGGCCTGTAGAAGGTGTGTCCAACAGGTCAAATCACTCAGTACTATTGTAATACAAATTTAAAGCATCTCCTACTAAGTGAGAGATGCTGGAACTTTCTTCATAGTCATTGGTCACAAAACAAAAAGGAAAGCAGATCATTTTTTACTGCACAATTATTCTCCCAGGCCACAGAAGTTAAACTGACTTTTAGTTGCACAGCTTAGTACAGAGACATGTTTCAAAACCTGAAAACTGTAGGAGCTAGACTTTAAAGGCAGGCGTTCTTCAAAATATTTTTTATTAAAAAAGAGCACAGTTATACAATAGAAAGTTTCTCCATGCTTGAAATATTCTGTCAAGTTTGCACTGACTCCAGAAAACCTAGAACAGGTTGGAGAGATGCCCTCCTGACCTTGGCCAGAAGCCCAACAAGAGGATGACCTTCCAGATGTGGTGAACTACTCATGGCAATCCCATTCCCACAGCCTTCCTCACTTTACACCAGAAGAATAGCTCTCTGGGCTAAATAAATTACCAAGTGAGGAACTGAGCTGGCTGGAGCGTGGGGGAAGATTTAGTACTGGGTAAAGACGGGGTGGAGGTTCCTGTTGTCGATTGGCTCAGTTCTCAAGCTTGAGTTTTAGCCTTTTTGCAGGCTGGCACAGTTTCTTCCTCCTCAACCTTGCAGAGCTTCTTCACTGTGTACACAACCCCACAGGCACTCTTCCGGGTTTCTGGAATATACAAGCAGAAGCTGTAGCAGCTCATGTAAAATCACTCTACTGCATTTAACACATACTCACTTCAGGTGTCTTTGCCCAAAAGTGTAATTCAACATGTTTAACAGCCAGCCAGTCGGCACACACAGCAGGTAAGCAACCTGCATGGGCAGGACCTGGGGATACACTAGGAAATCTGAGGGTGGGTGCAGAATTACAGCAAGCCTAAAGGAAAACTGAGGTTTGCAGGAGCTGAGGGGGTACATATGCAGAACCACAGCAAGCCAGGCTTCATCAGTTCCATAGCCACAGAAGAATGCATTCCTGAATGCAAGTCAAGAAGTATTTCTGTATTTCTGAGCAAAACATACCGTTCTTAAAAATAGAATAAATAAACATATTCACATACCCCAGGATTCTTAAACAGACTATGCTGGCACAGCTACACGGGCAGAGGCTTCTGTATACACACCAAGAAGTAGCTTCATGGTATTCAGTAATATTTTATTTACAGAACCCTCAGCATTACCATAAAACGCTACTATGTCATATTTTCAAACTCCTCATATATTTGCTAAACAACCTAGTGAGCCCAGTCCAATTTCAAAACTTCTAGTGGGAGGCTTCCCTGCAAAAACTGAAGATTTGAAGTAGATGAAACTACTTACAGATACTCTTGTTAGCAGAGAGGCTCTGAAAGAACTTTGCCAAAAACATGCTGAATTATTCTGGTCTAGTATTCTTTAGGGGACAGCAAAGTGACTTTTTTTTTTTTAAAAAAAAAAAAAACTTCAAAGAAAGATGAAGGTTTTGAGAAAACCCACGTACACTTGACAAAAATTCTAACACACTGTCACTAACTATGTAGATGAGTAGCAGGCTGGACAATCCCGCTCACAGAAATACACTCTTGAGGGGATAAAAGCTATCTGCTGGGAATTACAGCACATTCAAGCTCTGCTTCTACTGAAACAAGATGCAAGCCAAATTCTACTGTGTGCTTCCAATTTAGAGCAACTCATGTTACTAAGATGACTGAACCTACCTATCCAACAGATCCTGGCAGAGGCAGATATTAATAGCTACACAGTCACAAAGTTAAACTGCTATCAGAATAAACAACAGGCATTGGAACGGGTTGCCCAGAAAGGTGGGGAGTCACTGTCCCTGAGGATGTTTAAGCACCACGTCCAACCTTTTCCTAAGGGACATGGTTTAATGGGTGATGTTGGTGGTAGGAGAATGGTTGGACCAGATAATATGAAGGTCTTTTCCAACTTTAATGATTCTATGAAAAAGATCAAGAAACATTAAGAACCGATGAATAACTACGTGAAAGGGAAGGTAGAGAAGGAGGAATGAGGGTCACATTGCAAAGGGACTAAATTGACTGGAACACAAACTGAGACATTTCTTTGCTGCACTGACACTGAGACACATAATACAACTAGAAACTTTTTGATTCCTGCAGGGTGCCAAAAGTTAAATTTCTACTTTCTTAGTATTAAAATTATCAAGTATAAAAGAAGAAAGCTACTGTGAACTTCTTCTGGTGAGAGCATATGGAAGTTTTGTTTCATCAAAACACTTCAAGCCATGGTACACTATATGAAACATTTCCTTCTAAGCAGGAAACACTCAAGACTTCAGATTTGGCCTCAGGTTTGAAGTGGTCCACAATGAAAAGTGAGTCAGAAACAGACCACATAATGAAACATCAGAAAGGGACACCACACAAATTGCTTCTCTAGTCATGCTGCAAGAAGGTAAATACAAGAAAATTCGGATGCATGTGTTTCAAAGCAGTCACATAGCTTCTGCTGCTATCATGGAGATCAGCATTCAACCCCTTCTGAAAGAAGTGGCATTTTCACAACACAGCACAGCAGGCAGATCTGTGTTTTGACTAAACATCTTATGAGTCTTAATGTGGTTAAGAGAGTACTCCAGTACAGACAGCACTCCCATTTCAGCCACTCATTTGCTAGTGTGGCAACAAGGGTAAGACAAAACACCCTTGCTGCACAAGTTCCTTTTCATGCATTGAACAAGGGAAGTAAAACCCCAAGCTGACTTGTTCTGTATGGTCTCAGACTCTGGAAAACACGCACTGACAGGAACTTAGCTTAACAAATCCAGTATTAAGCAAGCCTGCACATGCTTTTCACTTACCTCCATGAAGTATGGTGGCTCTGCAGTTGGTAGACACAGCTGCCTTGGCTTCACTTTCTGACAGGCCAAACAGCAAACCTCTGCCACCTTTGTTCAGGATCAAAATGCACAGAAAGGAACAAAAAGAACATGGAAGCCTGGCTGTATGGCAGATTTGAATACTCTACAAATAACTGGGAATTAGCAACTCTGCAACTCGAAGTGACATCTTGCATACGGTTACCCAGAGGCAGAGACCTGAGGCACCCAATTCTCTTGCCTGCAGTTCCCCAGGAGCCCTCCTGGAAGGCTCCTGTCAATGTTGTTTTTTCCCGGACAAGCAGCTGTCATTTTGGAATTAAACATCTGTCAACATAGGAACATGTTTATATGTTTAAACAAGTAAAAAGCAACCGCCTTGAAAAAAATCAGCTTTGTGGGAAAGGGGATTGTCTGATTCAAAGCATTATGTTGAAAAATTCCCAGCCACCTTGAATAGGGATGGCACCAAATTAGGTATGTTAATTTGGGTTGAGCCACGCTGCTCTTTATAAGGGGGAAGGAAATGTTACGCGTAAAATCCTTCCAGCCCGAACACCCTCCCACACGGTTCTCACGATTCAGAGCGCAGGCCTCCCCTTTGAGGGACAGTCCAGATACATGCCTGGGGGCAGGGAGGAATAAGAATGCATCCGAATTCCTAAAAGAAAGGGAATAAAGATACTCTCCGTTAAGAACACAATCCCTTATTTAAGGGTATGTGTGAAACTAAGGGCTGAAATATTCAGAACAAAAGTAACCAGTTCTCAGAGAGGAACTTTTGCTTTCTCGACATAAACAAGATTTTATAGCTGCCTCTGTCAAAGATTTGACACCTTAGAGATCAGTAGTAGTAATTACTGGTTTGGTCTACAACATCCATTGATCTTTATTCCCAAAACTATGATTATGTTTTTTATTAATTTCTCCAATTACACCCAACACAAATATCAAGGCATAACAACACAAAATGTACCTATATCTGTACTCAGACATTACTGTTTACAGCGACTATTCACACCACTCCGTGACCAAGATCTGTTGCTCCTTCCACACCCACTCAGAGCCCTGATTCATTGAATTAGTCACCAACAAGCATCACTGTGTAAAGTTCAAGGATGGAAAATTTCAAAACCAATTTGAACTTTCACATGTTAATATTAATGGCTGTCTTAGACTTGGAAAAAGGATACAGATTTGCCACATCGTAAGGACCTCGTAGTTCCAGAGGCTAGAACAAAACAAAGAAGGTTGGATATGTGCATGCTCTCTCACACAGGCTGGCAGAGCGCGAGTATGCAGGACAGGGCTATCTGGGGAAGCAGTCAAGTCAGAAAGGTGAGACTAAATGCTACATAACTGCAAGCTGCTGAAGATGCATTATAAAAATCAAGGAAAGACTATTATTTTGGAAAACAGAGTTCCTATCTGGGAAAAAACTGTTACGGAAAATACCATAGCAGCAAAAACAAAGTAAAAACAAACAAACAAACATGATTTATTATTTAAACATATTGATTAAAAATATAAAAGATGGCAATCGTATATATATTAAACGTATAAACATGTAATTTTAAATAACTACTGTGTTTTCAGCTGCAGATAAACCATCAAATTGTTTCGACTTCAACAAAAAGCTAGGACTTACCCTTTCAGCTGCACTAGATATAACGATGTTCTGAAAAACAAAAGAGAACAAACGCTTATCTGTCATACAGTATCAATAAATGGAAAATCTGCAAGCAGCAAAGACTTCAGGAGCACTAGCTAAGTTTAGGCTGACAGCCCAATTAATTGTCAAAGTGTCTGATGCCCCCAGATGAAGTGAACTCTAGCCAGGTATGGATATTATTTTGCGGAAATGAATAAACCCTAACAATCTCCCCAACCCCTACTAGGCCATAGGGAGAAGCTCTCCCTTGTAGTTATAAACCTCCCACGCAGAGATCTGAGCTGAATAAGCTGAATAACCTTTTAGAGGGATAGGCTAAGCAGTATAAAACTTAGTGATGGTGTTGAGCAAGCACATGTGAACCTGTACCTCTTATAGAGGACTGTAAGGGTAAAGAAGAAATGGACAGTTGAACACACTGTGTTATGAAGTGCCCCCTTTATTTATAGTATCTGAAAGAGACAGGGAGCCATGCGTCTTTACTGCCCCTTGAAAGCAGTTGGGCACAAGACATCTGATGAGCATTACATTGAGAAAGACATACATGGCCACACAAATGACACAACTCAACCTGAGATACAACACAAATGGACTTTGAAGAGAAGCGCAGGATACCCCAGAAGCAGCTTACCGATTGTGGCTTTAGCCAGTTCGATGCTCCCACACTTCCAGCCTACCCTCTGTGCTGCAATACAACCTAACCCATCCACGTTGGCCTTAAATTCACACAGGCGGAGGAAACCAGTCTGCAGCCAGGCAATGGCAGCCCGTTCATACCATACGCTCACTTTCCTCAAAACTTGCACCCCCATGAAAAACACCAAGCAAAAAGATGCCCTTCCCCCTTCTCTCCCTAAAGTCTTCTGCAGAACAGGTATGTGATGCTCAGGGGCCGGCAGATACACAGCTCAGCTGCTGCGCTCTTCTAATGCTAAACCTCCATGGATGCTCACCCTGGGGAAGACTGTTTTGCGCAGGTGGAAACTCTGCAGCAGCAAAAAAATTCCTTGCACCTTTTCTTATATCAAATAAAAAGCTTTGGGAATTCCTGCTTGAGTGGGTGGGAATGAGAATTGGTACTGAGGCAGCAAAAGATTTCCCTCTCTGACGTCAGCACCACCAACACATTGCACCACCTTCGGTTCAAAGGTGGGGCTTTTGATCCCTTCCCCGCACTGCTCTGCTTGTCCTGCTGCCTCCCCAGCAAAAAGAGCAGTGGAAGGAAATGCTCTGTGCACAGGTGGAACTCAAACCATAGAAGAGCTTTTTGCATAGAAATGGTTGCACTGCTCACACTGTGCCCAAGGTTTCCTCATGTGCCAAAGAGGAAAGGATGGGACAGACAACTCTGCCTGAGCATACAGAAAGTCAGAAGCAGAAGTAATACATACATCAAAGTGACTTCACAGCACTCAGCCTGGGACGTTTTTTTTCTGCATAGTTCACCTTTAAAATGACTGTACTACAGATCCCAAGGGTGCTTTTGAGCTTCAGTGGTGCTGACTGCAAGAGTTCACTGAGAAAATTTAAGTCTGCTGCTCTGAGCTGTAACAACCAATTCCCATCTTCCAGACTGTGTAGAGCTCGCAGAGCAGCTGTGCCATCCTGAACCCAGCCCTACAGGACTGCGGCTCACTGCTGCATATTGCAGACATTCTATGGCCAATTCAAAGGCAGCTGGCTTCCGTTTAGTGGATGGGTAAGAAGGGAGAAGGAGACAGGAGTAGACAAGAAAAGCACTGGTAGCGAATGAAATAGAAGCAGGCAAAGGCAAATCCACGGGAAGAGCTACAGGGAAGAACTCAGAGGTGAGACATTACCTCGTCACGTAAAGGAGACAGCAGCTATTCTGCACACTGCTCTGGGTGCAGCATCCACACTCAGTTACTAAAACGTGGGAGGTAAAGGAGTGCTGTGCATCCCTCCCTCGTTCCCTGCACATTTTAACATGTTCTAGATATTCTGCTGAAGGCCAACTTCCTGACCAGTGAGTCTCTGGAAATTCCTCTGTCCTAATGCAACAGAAGAAAACCAAAAGGTTCCAAAAGTTGCTACAAGCTCAGCAACTGTAGGTTACAGCCTGTGACAGTGATGTGACAGACACCAACGCAAGCAGCCTATGGTGCAGCCTTACCACATCTCAGTAGAAAATGGCCTTTATATAACTGACAAAATGCCAACAAGGGCTAATAACCACCTCTGCTGGTCTGCAATGTACTGAGCCCAGAGGCAAAAAATGAAGACAAACTAGCAGTCCATTCCTAGCTCTTCCAGTGGCTAACAACAAATTGTTGTGTCCATCTCTAGCCAGTTTACCTTCCAGGTACAAATGATGTACGAGATTGACAGCTGCAGAAGAAAAAGGTCACAGGTACCCAGTCCAGATGCCTCACTCACTCTGTCTGTGATGCTAACTCAGCTGGTGCTATATAAATCAACAGCCACGTGAGAAACATCTTCAACTGCACAGAGGAAAGAGAAGCACTGGCAAAAAGCAATCCTACAGGAAAGTTTTTTTTGTGCGTATGAACCTTACATCCAAATGAGCATTCTGTGTGATTAACTCCCAGAGTTGGGCTTCTCGGGAAGGCCATGTGAGTACTTGCTATGTTCTGTAGCACTGAGGGAATTCATGTGTTTGACCTACCCCACTATCCTACAAAATAGGCCACCAAGGGGAGCCACAGTAATGATGAATCTGCTGTTAATTGGCCTTCCAAGTTCTACATCCCCTTTCAGACTAGATCTGCAAGGCTTCTCTGGACTAGCTAAGAACAGCAGGGGCCTTTTCCAGTAACGGTGGTGGGTGCTACAATCTCTTTTGACTTGTATATGTATCATGATATACTTCTCTGTTAAAAGCATATAGCCTGAGAGGTGCCACACTGCAGCTTAGTCTGGTGGCCTGGGAGGAGGTGAGGTATGAAAGCAGTGGAGTACAGGCATCTCAGCTGCAAGGATTACTTCTTCCCTTGGTTTCAGTAGAAGGGAAGAATGCAGTTGATCTGACTGCAGCAAAGCCCTGGCTTACAGCCAGCAAGCTGTTGGTTCTGTTTCGTACACAGGGGATTTCCTAACAGTTTAACAAAACAAGATTTCTCCCTTCTTAGTTTTTTCCCCATATTCAACTTACACTCTCAAAAAGAGCTTTTTGTCAGTCAGAAATTTAAATTGGGAATTTTAAAAAGATGCATGGATTTCAGCTCCAGTGCAAACCTTAGATCTACTTTTTTCCTTTTGTTCTGGGTATTGCATACCATGCTAACAGATAGGTTGTTCTGAAAAAAGAACACAGCAGTCTGACAAGTTAAGAAGAAAGCGTGCAGTGGTGCATGGCTGGAAGTATCTGGAGCCAGAACAGTTGTGTCCTTGTATTAGCAGGCAAAGATTCAGAGCTTCAGAAAGCCCAGCATCACACTAATTTAAAATGGCTCTAGTCTGTACAACTCCAGAAGAATTTGAACTGAATTAATTAGCTTGCTTTCACTTTGAGAGCTTACCTTTCCTTTGCAGATCTGCATCAGGCTGATTGCATTTGAAATTGTGTATCTTCTCATTGTGGAGTCTTTGATGGCAGGCGTGTAAAGAAGTTCAAAGTAAATGCCTCGATCTATTGCCTTCACATGAAAGAAAGTGATCAAAAATCAAAAGGAGAGAAGGAAAACAATCTAACAACCACTGTCTATTATTGATGCAGCTTATTCTCAGTTTTAACTGTGTTATGAAAAAATGAAGGAGGAATTGTTCCAGCAGGAACACAGCATTGAATGAAATGTGGAAGGGGGGGGAGGTGGAAGTTTCACTGTATACCAGCTACATGTACTTGAATTTTGGGAAGACAGAAAAATGAGGTTTAATAAACAAATACCATTCACTTATTAACTGTAGTTGGCTTTCCACTGTCGCAGAGAGATGGAGACAGGTAACCCCTGCTGATTATAAACAAGTCTGGAAACTTTCAGGACCATCCTGCTCCAGCCTCACTGCCTGTATTAAGGAAGAGCTCCGCTTCCCAGAATAACCACATCTTGCAAACTAGGAATTTGTCCTTGCATAAAAGCAGCAATGAGGTTCCATCTCTCCTGTCTCACAGGATACTGTGGTATTTGTGACAATTTTAAAAAACAATGGGCAGCAGGAGTTTCCAAACAGCAATACTTTGTGCATTTTCAGTTGCTTTAAAATCCTTTGCTGTTTGTCAAAGTACCTCACCAAAACCCTTGTATTGCTGTTTTCACAAGCACTGAGAAAGCTTAAGCAACTTCTTGGAGGATACACAGTGAGTTAGTGATAAAGACACCATTCAAAGATAATTCACTGGCCTATAATACCTTCGCCTGAAATGTTGCTCTGTGTTTTACATTCATATTATTAGAAAATGTTTCAATGCTAATACTGTAAGAGAGTCCAGCAATTGAAAACAGATGGAATTAATCCAGGCATAACCTCTGCACGCAAGCAGAGAAGCTATGTACACAAATGTTTTACTGGCCCAACATCTGGAGACAAGAAGAAAAGCCTGAATTTATCAAAATCAAAAAAGGTGATGGCAATTCACCAATTTCAAGGTAAACAGACTTTTAACCTCATCCCCACCACTCCAGCTGCCTGCCAGTCTGGCATCACAACAACCAAAACTGACTGCCCCAGGATTCACAAAACCAGTCTGACAGACAGACTGCCTTCAAGTCAGGAGTGTCGATGCTGAGAATTAGCTTGTAAGGAAATATCAGCATATATGGGGCTTCAAGAGCCTCCCAGATCCTCATCTGGGTCAGCTCCTAGAATTTTAGGTGGTATTTGCAAACAACATCTCACATAACATTTTTTTGTTCCAAGTGGAATATTGAAATTCCCAGCCTGTGGTGAATTCTAAACTGCTACTTTTGTTCTGTTTCAGACAGTTTCAACTAGTTTATTGTTTATTTTTATTCTAGGTCAAAACTTCTCTAGAAGACAGAAGTAGGATTTCTGGCCAATTACAGCTTTAAATTTTAAACCACTAAGGACTACACCAGCCAAGAATGCCCATGTGGAACAAACCTCGACTCAGAGGAAAAAAACTAATTCACCTAACTGCACATTCAGATTAAGTTTTCTGGCAAGCCACTTACAGTAGGCAAAACTGCATTAACAAAATATTTGATATATGCTGACAGTTAACTTGTGTCCCACAGCAGGTATTTAGCAATCCCACATTTGGTTTATTTGCCAAGACTTTCCTCTAAATATGGATTCAATAGAGTCATCCTCCAAATAACTGAGGCAATGTCCTTCTCCCAAATTAACACTGCCATTCACGTTCTCCTGTCATTTAAATCACAGGCTGTTTATCTGTGCTGATGCAGCTGTATCACTTCTGGTTTGGGAGGTAGGTTGGTCAGCAACCACACCACATGTCACTGGTTAGCATAGCAGTAGCTTTAAGGTTGTTTCCATTCCTTGGAAACAGCATTTCTGCCTCCATAAGTGGAGGACAAAAAGAAGGAAGTGAAAAAACACATTCTTGTGTATTATATACTGCAGCGGAGGCCTTGAAGTGAAGGACATCTAAAACAATACTAAAGATTATGCGAGAAAATAAAAAGAACCACTTGGATGGGAATGGTGGGAGGGAAACTACAGAGAATTCAACTCAGGCTGACATTAAATACAGAACTTAATAACAAGAAAACAATTTAGATGTAAATTTACCATATTCACAGGGGGCCTTCGGAAGTAGAACGGCAGCTTTTCTGTTACATTTATGCACACAATATCTACGTCTAGAGTTGTGCAAGCAATCTATAGCAAAGAAATAGGAACAGATTAATAGATATGTCGAAAAACAAGTAATCAACATTAGGTGCACTGATAGTCTCCTTAATTTCTTAATGCAACAAATGTCTCTCCATAGGGAGCTTAGTTTTAAAATGAAGAAGTGCTGTGCCTTGTAGATTTGACAATAAAGCAGGACTACTGGTATAAAGCTTGAGCGTTTCAGGCCCCAAACCCAAGCCATCTCTCACTTACAGAACTGCTTTTCCAATAAAATAACAACCACACAAAGGCAAGACTTCCTGCTTTGTTCTTATCCGACACAGGACATGCAAAAGCAGTGCTGGCTTTTGGCAAAAGAACTCATAGCTAATGAAGGACAACCCCTGCTTACAAAGGGATCAGCCTAGGAACAGCCCCTTGCCCCTCATTCTCTAACTGTTGTGTAGCAGTTAGATATATTTTACTATTTGTTATTAACAGATATTTATTATTGCTGGCTGAATATGAGCCAGCAGTGTGCTCACATGGCCAAGAAGACGTACAGCATCCCGGCTTGTATCAGAAATATTATGGACAGCAGGACTGAGGAAGTGATTGTCCACCTGAACATGGTTCTGGCGAGGCCACACCTTGAGTACTGTGCTCAGCTTTGGGCCCCTCACTACAAGAAGGACATCGAGGTGCTATAAAGTATCCAGAGAAGGGCAACGAAGCTGGTGAAAGAGCTACAGATCAATGAGGACCAGCTAAGGGAACTGGGGTTATTTAGCCTAGAGAAAAGGAGGCACAAGGGATGTTGTAGCAAGGTGGGGATCAGTCTCTTCTCCCATGCAACAAGTGATAGGACAAGAAGAAATACCCTCAAGTTGCATCAAGGGAGGTTTAGGTTGGATATTAGGAACAATTTCTTCACTGAAAGGGTTGTGAAGTACTGGAACAGGCTGCCCAGGGGAGTAGTTGAGTCCCCATCCCTAGAGGTATTTAGAAGACCTGTAGATGTGGTGCTTTGAGGCATGGTTTAGTTGTAGACTTAGCAGTGCAAGGTTAATGGTTGGACTTGATCTTAGAGGTCTTTTCCAATCTAAATGCTTCTATGATTCTAACGGCAACAACCAATAAAAGACTAAAACAGAAGCAGCTTCAGACAGTGATGGGTGCTGCCACATAACCAGTACTGGGTCCAATCCATGGTGCCTCACCTCCCAGGCTGGGCAGGAAAGATACAACCCCTTCTGAAAACCCAGTCTCTGGAGAAGGCTCAGGATGGCAGCTGAGGTCATGGTTTAAAAGCTTAGCTCTGAAATCACACTGCAATTTATACTCTGTATTAATAGTGGGAAAGAATGAACAAAGCGTGGAGGAAGTCCACACTGACACACAGGGAAAATTAAGCGGACGTAAAAGGGAGCCCTCCATTTACATATAATCTCTTGCATGCAAGACTTGTAGGAATTATATATGCCTACCCTGTAAAGGTTATTACACAGAACCAGATTAATGCCTGTAAGTGACGTTGTAACAAAGAAGATCAAGTGTGCTGAAGATGTTCAAAAGGAATTTTCTACGTGTAGGGGAACACTTTGTGTTCAGAAACTTGCCAGCAACTGCTCCAAATACACCTGGGCCAGGTGCCAGCCATTCATCCCTCTTTGCAGCAGCATGAAAGCAATGGGGCTGCAGGGTGGCTGCACTCTGCTCTAATGCAGGGCTGGCTACAGCTCTGCAACCTCACCTTTTACCAGTTTGTTCACATGAAATTTGGACAGAGATGAGAGCAGAGGCCCAGCTTTAGGAATGTTTCTTAGCTGTTGATAGCGCTCCTTTCCAGATAAGAGACCTGCACCATACATCCAGACAATTCAAGGATCATGCCAACCACACGGTTTTTGATGTTAAACTGTCTGTACTAGGCCATTCAAGCTAACCTTTATCCGCATGCCCTACCTTTACCAATTCTGTTACGCGTGACACGGGTTAAATCTACTACAAATGCAAGTCTAAAATACAAGTTTAGCCTTTCTGTAGCCAAATTTAATATTTTCTTATGTGGGATACAAACTACCATCTAGACAGAGGTGATTTACAGGAACTCACGTCCTAGAGAAGAGGCCACAGGAAATTCAGAAAAGAGAGAAAGACAAAAAATGAAGGAAAGCAAGAATACACACCAGAAGCAGGCAAGTCACCCCATGCAATGAGAAAACAAGCTTTCCTAATCAGCTCCAGAAACACTGGAAAACTCTCTTCCATTTTGCCAATTAAGCACAGTGGGAAAGGGAGTGACCCAAGTGCCAGGATAACTACAGGATTCCAGTGACAAGAACACATCAGAAAACACCACCGAGGAAAAACAAAATTAAGAGTCATACTTCCCCATATAGAGGAATACCCGAAAGCATGGAAAGTTGGCAAAAAGATTTCTCCAAACACTCCAATGTTCAGCCCAGCTTTGGCTTCTGGACAAGTCACACACAGAGGCAGGTTAAGGTTAGCCAGTCTGCTAAAAGGATCTGAAGTGCACAAACTTCATGCAGAAAACACCATGGAGCAATTGCACAGCCCAGTGCCTCTCTGGCCACGCTGCAGGCAAGAGCCCCATCTGCTGGGAAACTGCCAACAGCCAAAAATAAATTCGTCAGTGCTCAGTCTGAAGACAGCCAGGTTTGCTTTGGCAAACATTTTTACAAATCAACTTTGAAACCTGGGTTTGCAGTACATCCTCAGACTTAAATAAGCACGATTTTTTAGATACTGGTTATTTGCTAATTGCCTGCAAATAGCAGGCAGAACTAACATGAATAAAACAGAAACATTAGAATAAAACATTTTTGAAAAGCAACAGGCCCGACCTTAATGCTGGCACAGAGTGGGCATTCCAGTTTCAGCCCCAAACAATCCTCTTTGAGAGCCTTAAAGAAGCACATTCTACAATTATCTTGGCAAACAGAGCTTCCTCACACCCCTGAGGATACAAATTACTCGTAGAATTTGAGCACATCTTTCAGTACACATCACTGCCCCTCTCAGTCACTGGAAAGCTTCCTTTGCTTGTGACGAGAGGGCACAGACTATTTTTAGGCCACGCTAAAATTAAAGCACATCTCTAATGGTCACGTATATCTCACAAACACATGAACAGTCCTGCTCTGTGGAGAAGAATCTAAGTGCCAAATTGTTGGTGAGAAAGCTGATGCTTTTGAGGTAACGCGAAGTTACCAACAGCCAGTTAAAAAAATATAACTTATGGAGCAAGACCCACCCTATAAGGCTTTATCCTAAACAGTGAAAGATCTGAGTTGTAAGAGCCAGAGGTATATATTGAAACTCCATGTTCCAGATGCTCCCAGCTGATACCTCTACAAAATTGACAGAGCTCTCCACTCACACTTAGAAACCTTGAAGCTTTAAACAAAAGACAAACATACAAATCTGTTCTGAATTTGAACATGTAAGGATGAAGGTCTTTACCTTATGCAGTCTGAAAGAAACATGCTTGGGTTTCTTCCCCAGCTCAAGAGCACTACCATCATGACAGAAATTAAGATGGGCTCATGGACAATCCTGCTTCCTTCCTATCAAGCTCCTCCATTTCAGCATTAATGATACAACATAGGAGCTTGCAATAGGTCAGCTGTGTCACAATTTCATTTTCATTTTTCTGTAATCAAAAGATTTTAACCAAAATCTGACCTGTTTTCAGATGCTCAATCAAATCACTCACACCTGCCGTTCCCACATTTTTAGATTTTTTTTTTTAAATTAAAGATATGAGAAAGACTGAGAAAACTAACACCTATCACCCCACAAGCTGAGCTGATTATCAGTCTGCTTTGGACAGCGTTTTAAAACTAGTAATTGTTCTGATGGGAGAAGTCTATTCAGGATGGGAAAAATAAAATGATATGATGTTTGGTGCCATTATTAAGAGCTGAAGAATTACTGCACCTAATGGCATTTAGGTACCAGCTTGCCACAGTGAGCATCTCCTGCAGTAGTACACCAGAATTGGACCAAATCAATTCATAGTCAAACACACTTGCAACACCTTGCTTTTCTAAGATCACAGAAGTGATAGAGTGATGTTTTTCTTGTGCAAAATATTTGCATTTCTAGTAATGTAAACCAATGTGAAAAAATAGCAGTCTTGGGCTAAGGTCACAAACAAGTCCTAACAAAGGTTTTGAAAATGACTCACATGATTTATTTTTTCTCACCGGCACACTCTGAGCACTTCCACAACTACAAACCCCAGAATCTGTTTAGTAACACTGATATAGCAACACCTTTGAAAACTCCCAAATGTTGTGGAGGCTGTTTTCAGTATGAAATTTTCTCTGAACTGCCAGGAGAAAACCTGGGTGAGAAAATGACAGTCTGCCCTTTGTCTATTTCCCCAAGGCTGTTCTACTTCTGTACAGCTTCAGTGTACTTTTTGGCAGGCAAAGTAACAAACATATCATGAAGTCAAAGAAGTGAAGCTTCTCTCACTCAGCTTGAACATTCAAAACAAAACCAAAAATCCCAGTTTGGCAATGAAGCAAGGGTTGTATGGCTTAATCAGCCATACTTACTTTGGGAAATTTTATTTTATCTGTTCTTGAGATGCTATGACACCAGAACTAGCTGTGTTTTAAATCAAAAGAAGAGCAAGAGATAATGAGATGAAGTAATAAAAAGAAAAGTTAAAGAAAAAAAAAGATAAACTACTCATTTGGAAAAACCTCCAAGAGAAGACTAAAGACTAAGAAAGAAGGTAACTCTCAGAACACCACTTCAGTTCTCCTTTTCAGTTCTCCTTTCAAATTCTCCCACATTCCCTGGCATTTCAGAAATCAGAAACAATTAGTGCTAACAGAAGACAGCAAATGCTTTGGGGGGAATCTGTCAAGGGTCTGGAAAGTTAAACAGTTCAAGAAATAATTTTACTAAATGCTGACAATATTCAAATAAATAAATAAATAAATGATGTTTTCTCTCCTCACTCTCAGCATAAGACAGATAAAGGAAACCATGGAGCAAAGGCATTGAAATCCACTGGCCAGGCAGTCATGTCAAGACCCGTTACCCTCCTGCAACTTCTCCCAACCTTTCAGTCTGTCCACTAATGTGGGAGCCTACATTGTTTAAGTAGCCCCATGCATGCATTCAAACCAGTCCAAGGTGCCATAAATTGTTGTAGGACTGGCATTAACAATCAGAATGTACTTACATGGAACAGTTTCTCCGTTTTTGGAAATACTGCTATGATGTCATATAACCTTATATTTGAAGATGTTGATCTCTGCAAAGGGAGGAAACAATTACTGCTTTGACTTCTGGCAGATGACAAAGCACAATGATTATGACCAAAGTAACAACGACAAAAAGCCTTTTCTGTTTTCAAGTGCTAAACCAAAGCCAATAATCATCTAATCATACAGTAGATCTCTTGCTGTGAGCAATTATCTCAAGTCATTTTGGGGCTTGTCCCATCCACCTAGCTAGGCACTTACACACAGCTTTTCCTTCAATAATGTAGTGCTACAGACAAACATGGGGCTTGCTCACAGTATTCTACTGTACATACAGAAATTGAAATGCCAAAGACAAGAACCAAGAACGGAACTGCTATCCCATATTGTCAAATGACCAACAGAACCATATCCAGTTTTTTAAGTCTGCATTCTTTCATGAATGCTTTATTTTCTAAAGACATAATCTGAGAAATCAGTACTGAAATCCATAAAGCTTTCCCCTGCCCAATTTCCAAAGTTTCATTCTTTCATTGAGAGAATGAAATAAAAACAGGAAAATTGATATACTGAATATACTTACCAAGAGATTACAGTGGGAAGGATCAGAAACAACAAGTGTCAGACGGGTTAAGACTTTAAGTTGTTTAGATGTCCCCTATGAAGGAAAAATAATTGAAGACTTAAAAAGCTCCAAAGCAAAAATTTGTGGTGATTTTCACCCTGTCCACTATAAAAAGAAAATGGTGCCTTGCTCAATTTTTTGCCTATGCTGATTTTCTAAAAGTCTGTAGTTAAAATTCCCTAATTTTGTTGTTTTATATTGAAATGCAGGATATTATATCTGGCCTTCTTAAAAATTGACACAGTGTGTTTCTCTGAGGAAGGGATCAACAGAAAAAATGAATATCATGCAGAAAACAGAGCATGTTTTATTACCACTGCTATGGTACCCCAAGCAGGCCACAACTGCAAGCAGAAGCATTTCCTGAATTAATGTACATCAGTGATTCAAAATACAGACTTGGTTCATTTTATCCGAATCTTGTTGCATCAAAACTAGAAATTTCCAAAACTCAGGCCTAAATTTCAAGAGTACTTCACTGTGAATATTCAACTAGAAGATGATTCAAAATTCACACATTTTTTAAATCATTTCTGAAGTAAAGAATAGGCCCTCCTCTAATGTGAGCGTTATCATTCTTGCAATGTTGGGAGTTTTAAGAATAAGCAACAGACAAATTTCTCATTTTTAGTTAACACGTAATACACAGAATTTCACAGATAAACACAAGAAAAAGATTATAACTCAATAATAATTCATAGATAGAATGTAACTAAACATACTTGTACAATAGGTAAAGACGGAAACAACTCTGACGGAGATACTGGCTTGGCAATTTCCTCAAGAGAGAACAAAATAAAGTTATTCACAATATAACAGGTTGTTCAGAACGTAAACAAAAGTTGTGTTCCAATTCTAAAAATAAGTTTACCATGCTAACAAAACTATTTAATAGTGACAGTTCATGGATCATATTAAAAATTAAATCCAGGGCAACAATACTGAATTATAAAATGGAATTTCTGTTACAAATGAAAACATGTATTTACATCTAAATGAGCATTTTCAAGACAAAGGTATTTAGGGGCATTTAGATTTAACAACAGAAAACACTAAGAATGAATTAACCCAACAGAAATTACCTGTTTCTTTTCTTTAAAATCGATGACATGATTAAGAGCAACTGCAGAATATCCCACTAAAAAACAAAAACATCGTAAGACTGTTTTGTCCAGTAAACTAATGGAAACAAAGCCAAACAGAAACCTGTCAAAAGTTCATTACTTAAATATCTCAAAATTAATAATTATGTACATATTTACCTTTCACGTTGATTTTTTCCCCTGAAGATTAACTCACCAAAGAAGTGTCTTAAAGTACAAGAATTTATTTTAACAAACCCCAGTTGTGACTACACTCACTCGACGGCAGAGCTTTATGAACACAAATGATTGCTTGAGCATGGTTTGTTGGCATGGCCAGCACTGGAGCACATACAGGAGATGAACAGTTAAGTGTTACACTGGGCTTGCAGGTGAATTGGAAAGTATAAGTATCATTAGGAAAACACATTCTAGACAAAGCTACTGCAAGGTCAGGAAGAAACTGGTTGAAAATTAACAGCAGATATTCATGACTCCTTGTCAAGCTGGGGTTCCCAGACATTTTGCCCTATCTTGGTCCTATTAATGACTTTCTTTAGGAAAAACGGTTAATGACATTCAGGATACATGTTAAAACTGTAGACAACACAAAGGTAAGAAAGTTACAGTTATATTAGAAGGCAAAGTTAGAATTCAAAACAATGTTGACAAACTGACGAAAAGTTCTCATTCAGCAGGTATTAGAGAATGATTGTACATTTGACAAAGCCAAATCACTGCTTAACACCTAGGGTCTTAAGAAATTACAAGTGGAAAATAACCCCCCAAGTCAGAAAAAAAATAAACTTGGATAAACAGGCATAGATACAGACTGCAGGACACAACACCATCTTTCCATGGTGCTCAGCACTGAGAAGACCTCAGTCTCGGTCACTTCACTTGCAGAAAACTGCAAGTCAAGCAGAGTATGGGGAGGAGCAACGAGAATGAATGGAATGTGAAAATACAGGCCTGGAAGGAAACCTGATTGGAGGTTTAGGCCAAAAAGAATGGGAAAACTAAGGACAGGGATTCCTGCTGTGCTTACAAAAACCTTGCTGCTGCTTATGTTCTGCTGCTCTCCTGGCCAGGACCAGCCCCCCTTAGGGCAGACCCACAGGCTGTGCACCAGGAGCCCAAGCCGTGCTGGGGCACTGATGCCTCAGCCAGCTTTTCTCCTGCTCCATTGCAGGGCTGACCTAAGAACTGCCAAGCGTGAGGCAGGGGAAACACTGCTGTAGACACAGGCTGGCAGGAGAAAGATTGCACTTTTCAACAGCAGCAGACTGGAAGACACACTGTGAGCAGAAACATGCTCATGTTTGAACACATACAAGAATGACATAAAGGGCAAGGCTACCTTTAAGGGGCCATGGTCATCAAGACAAGAAAAAACCATAAAAACCATGCTGAGCAAGACCAGTAACTCAGGAACAAGCTGCCTACAGAGCCTGTGGAGCAACTGGAGGCCCTAAAATCCTTGCAGGACAGAGATGCATCAGGCACAGCAGACACTGCCCGGCCTCCCAAGGGCAAGGAAAGCCCTGCTCACGGTGCCTTCGGCTCCCCTCCAGCCCAGCTCTGCCAGGATTCACACTTCTGCTGCTAACACCAACCCAGCGCAGCCGGGAGAGGCCGGCACCCTCCACCCCCGGCCGGCCCGAACCGCCGCCTGCCCCAGCCCCTCCGGCCCGGCCAGGCGCAGGGCCGGCCGCTGCCCCGCTCTCGGACTCACGGCGAGCCGCAGCCTCCAGCAAGCTCTGCAGCCCCTTCTTGTCCGGGCCCTGCGGCACGTTCAGGTCGGCGAACCCGGCCATGCTGCGCGCAGCGCCGCCCCGCCCGGCCCGGGGCACCCTGGGGCTTGTAGTCCCGCCCTCGTGGCCGGGCGGGGAGCGCTGGAGGAGACCTCGTAGCGGATGGGGCAGACTCCTGCCCCACAGACGGGGCTGTGGAGGGGACGGGGCATGGCGCTGTGGCCCCCCTCAGCGTGCCAATGGCTGGGAGCAGGGGCAGCCGAGCTCGCTCGGGCCCAGAGCCCTCAGGGGCCGGCGTCGTGCCCACCAGGTGGAGCCGCGGCGTCACTGACCGTAATTCATGGGGCCTCCGCAGAGCACTGCTAATTTGTATAAGGAAAAGAGTCCTTTCTAGTTATTTAAAGGTCTTCTTTTTTTCCCATGTTAGCTAAAAAGTTGTGAAGTAAAGACCCATGCAAGAGATACTCCCCAAAATGCCAAAGTGCTGAGGAATTACAATAGACCACAGAACATAAACACATTGACTACATAGCACAGTTGTAAAACCACGAATCTCATTTTAATGTTGATAACAAGCAGAGTGTATATGAAATACGGGTGGTAACTACCACTTTTTTGGTTTGTTTGTGTGGGGGACTTACAGCAGCTGCTGAAGACAACAAGTCTGCAATTTGTTCCCGCTTCTGAGGTTGTACTGCAGGGCCTTGTAAATCCTTTACTTACTCTTTCTTCTTATTGGGCTAGTTCATGAAGAAAAATCTGTGGAGTATATGGAACTCTGTACCCTTAGCCAGGCAAAACTGCTCCTCACTGGGGCCAAGGTAGCAGTGCTGCCTGCTCCTAGGTATGTTGCTGCTTACAGGACCATTCCTTGGTGCAGCTTGGTCCCATTATGCTCTGAGACTTGTGGCTTGTTTGTGCCAAAGAGGTAATCATAGAATCATTAAGGTTGGAAAAGACCCCCAGGATCATCTGGTCCAACCATCACCCTACCACCAATGTCACCCACTAAACCATGTCCCCAAGCACTACGTCCAACCTTTCCTTGAACACCCCCAGGGACACAGTAATGCCACCACTTCCCTGGGCAACCCGTTCCAATGCCTGACTACTCTTTCTGAGAAGAAATATCTCCTCATTTCCAACCTGAACCTCCCCTGGCGCAACTTGAGGCCTTTCTCTCTAGTCTTATCACCTGTGAGAAGAAACTGACCCCCAGCTTCCTTTCAGATAGTTGTAGAGGGCAATAAGATCTCCTGAGCCTCCTCTTCTCCAGACTAAACAACCCCAGTTCCCTCAGCCACTCCTCACAGGACTTGTGTTCCAGTCCCTTCGCCAGCTTCGTAGCCCTTCTCTGGACATGTTCCAGGGCCTCGATGTCCTTCCTGTAGTGAGGGGCCCAAATCTGAAAACAGTACTGGAGGTGCGGCCTCACCAGAGCGGAGTACAGGGGGATGATCACCTCCCTGGCCCTGCCGGCTACACTATTCCTGATACAAGCCAGGATACTGTTGGCCTTCTTGGACAGCTGGGCACACTGCTGGCTCATGTTCAGGCGAGCATCGACCAGCACCCCCAGAGCCATTTCCTCTGCACAGCCTTTCAGCAACTCTTCCCCAAGCCTGTAGTGGTGCATGGGGTTATTGTGGCCAAAGTGTGAGACCCAGCAGTTAGCCGTATTGATCATCATCCCATTGGCCTCTGCCCATCAATCCAACCTGGCCAGGTCCCTCTGCAGGGCCTTCCTATCCTCCAGCAGATCAACACCTCTCCCCAACTTGGTGTCGTCTTCAAACTTACTGAGGTAGCACTCAATTCCCTCATCCAAATCATCAATAAATACATTAAAGAGGATGGGCCCCAACACTGACACTTGAGGATTACCACTGGTGACTGGTCACCACCTGAATTTCACTCTGTTCACCACTACTCTCTGGGCCCAGTACTCTCTGCCATCCAGATAGTTTTTAACCCAGCAAAGAGTGTACCTGCCCAAGCCATGGGCTACCAGCTTCTCCAGGAGAATACTGTGGGAGACCATGTCAAAAGCCTTGCTGAAGTCTAAGGAGACTACATCAACAGCCTTTCCCTCATCCACCAGGCAGGTCACCTGGTCATAGAAGGAGATGAGGTTGGTCAAGCAGGAATTGCCTTTCATGAACCCATGCTGACTGGGTCTGATCCCCTGGTTGTCCCACATATGCTGTGTGATTGCCTTCAAGATGACCTGTTCCATCACCTTTCCTGGCACTGAGATCAGGCTGACAGGCCTGTAGTTCTCCAGGTCCTCCTTATGACCCTTCTTATAGATGGGCATCACATTAGCAAGTCTTTAGTCATCTGGGACCTCTCTGGATGACCATCACCGCTGATCACACGTTTTGCAACAGATCACCAAGAAACAACAGTGTCTGCTTGACAAATTTCTGGCCTTGCTAGAGTTACAAAGACCTGAGATGGCATTAACAGAAGCCAGCTGTGGCTGCAGAGACCAGAGTAGGAGCTCAGGGTGGCTTTAAGGGACAGTAGATAACATTAAGTCACATCTCTATGAAAGGGGAAAAAACAGACTGATAGACAGTCTTTGTTGTTGCCACGGGTATGGCAGCCATTTTGACAGTAGTAGAGGTCAAGCTATTTCAGCAAAGGCCTATATGAGCCTGTAAGGTGTTTGCTTATTAGATCAGCCAGAAATGCTTCTCTGCCAGTCATTTGAACAATTAGCATAGCCTGAATGGTATTCTCAAGGCCTTTCTGTGAAGGGTGTGAACATAGAAGAGCTTCAAGTATTATTTCAGATTTTCTTTAACTATGTATGCTATAACTTGATTTAATTTGTCTTGTCTGTAAGAAGAAATCCATAAACATATCAATTATATCTGAGTGGCCCTGTGTGGTGGTTCCACTTAAGTGGGCAGCTGAGCTCCACCACAACCGCTCTCTCACTCCCCCTCCTCAAAGAGGAACGGGGAGCAAATACGATGAAAAGGGCTCAAAGGTGGAGATAAGGACAAGGACATCATGCAGTAATTATTGTGATGAGCAAAACAGATTCGGCATAGGGAGACAGTAAGATTTATTGCTTATTACTAACAAGCTAGAGAAGTGAGAAACAAAGGAAAGAAACCAAAAGCACCTTCCCCCCCACATCCACCCTCTTCCACCTCCTCCCCCTGAGCGGCGCAGGGGGACAGGGAGAATGGGGGTTATGGTCAGTCTATAGCTCTTCTTCTCTGCTGCTCCTTCTCAATCACTCTCGTCCCCTGTGCTGTGGGGTCCCTCCCACGGGATGCAGTCCTTGATGAGGTGATCGTGGGCTTCCCACAGGCAGCAGCTCTTCCAGAACTGCTCCAGATATGGGTCCGTACCACGGGGTCCATCCCTCAGGAGCAAACTGCTCCAACCTGCGTCCCCTATGGGCAGCAGCTCCTGCCAGGTCACCTGCTCCTGCGTGGTCTCCTGTCCACGGGCTACAGGTCCGGCCCAGAATCTGCTTGGGCAGGGGTTTTCCACAGGCCGCAGCCTCCGTTGGTGCAGGTCCACCTGCTCCACCGTGGTCTCCTCCACGGGCTGCAGCGTGGAACCCTGCTCCACCGTGGTACTCCATGGGCTGCAGGGGGACATCCTGCTTCACCATGGTCCTCACCACAGGCCGCAGGGGACTTTTGCTCCGGTGCCTAGGGCACCTCTCCCCCTCCTTCTTCACTAACCTTGGCACCTGCAAGGCTGTTCCTCACTCCTCTCACTCTCCCAGCTGCTGTGTATCGCAGTGTTTTTTTCCCGTCTTAAATATGCTCTCACAGAGGTGCAAAACAGCATCGCTTATTGGCTCAGGCTCTGGTCAGCAGTGGGACCCTTACTAAACATAGGGCAGCTTCTAGATCCTTCTTACAGAAGCCACCCCTATGGCCCCCTGCTACCAAAACATTGCCACATAAACCCACTACACCCTATTGGACTTGTGCTAAGAGACATTGAACAAGATTAAGCAGCTTTTGTGTTTGGCGATATACAAGCTAAACAAACGTTTACTTGAGGCACTTAAAATGGAGAACATTTAAATGGATCTTCATGAATTCTGAAGAACGCTATTAGCTATGATGGCGTAAGAGTCTGAGTATGAAGCACTTTTAGCATCACATATCACAAATCATTTTCACAGACCAGCGTGCAACCTTATTTCCTACATTAATTACTTCAATATTACTATTTTTGTTCAGGCCAGCCCTGGTGATCTACTTAAAACATCTTTATGGTTCTGGCTATTATGTCACAAGCCTCTAATATGCTTTGTTTTATGTGTGGCCTGAAGTCCTCCTAGTAGAGCCAAATTTTCTCCCTCTAGATATTTTTTCTCACTATATTTAGATCTCAGTGAAGTCCTTTCTGGTATTTTTTTTTATGCAGTTCCTCTAACAATTCCTCTAACATGTTTACACATGTTAGCCAGGGTAGTGGCTGATAGATTTTTGCTTGCTTATTTATTTATTTATTTATTTATTGTTTAGTTCTGTGTTTAGCACCTTTAGGAAGCTGAAGATATTGTTTGGTATCACCCATCTCAGCAACTCAGTAACATAAATATCAGGGTCACTTTTATCATAACCTTAACAGTTTCCTTCATAAAGCTGCAGAATGAATTTTCAGGGATGAGAGCTCTGTTTTTCTGCATGATAAAGAAATTTCTAGTATAAATTTCATCTTAATTGTTTGTTTTCTTTTGAGATGACAGCTTGCTTTTGTTCATATTTGCTGGTTCCAAAGAAGGAAGACATCATTTCACATTTATTTAACTTGCACAGATGTGAGTATTTATTTTGACAATGATAAGAAACACCAAAGATGTGAATGGTTACCTCTCTGTTTTACTGCCACAGAGTAGTGATGATTTATTTTCACAAAGGCAAGAAAGGACAGAAAAGAAACTGCAGCTGCAACATCTTTGCTAGAAGTTGGACAAGAGTGTTATTTGCTAAACTACATGCTGGGAATAAAAATCAAGGTTTCAATAATATTTGTCCATGGATTTCTACCCAATCTGTGATAAAATATTCTAAATATTTTGACAACGTTTCCCCAAGGCAGAAGAAACATATACCTATACTTTATTTATTATTCCCAACAGCAGGTCCTCACCACACTTATATTGGTTTCCAAGAAAAGAAGATGAAAACGAATGAAAAAAATTTACAAGAGATAAATGAAAACAACAGCTTATGAATATAGACTAGCTCAGGCAAGGAAGGACAAAAAAGAGATAAATAAAGGAAAAATAGCAAGAAAATTTTCCTGTTTATTATATTTCACAGAATCACAGAATGTTAGGGATTGGAAGGGACCCTGGAAGATTTCATGCTCATGTTGTTGTACCTTCTTGCCATGTATCCAAAATTAAATCATTTAAGAATGAAAATATAGCAGTATCTTTAAGATTTTATGTTAAGATAAGCACAGCTCTGGGCATGGCTGTGGAGGGGAAAGAGTTACTGTGCTGGGCTGTCAGTGGTTTTTCTTCTGCTGGTGAAGTTTCTCATGCTGCAGTCCTGGACCCATTTCAGTCAGAGGGCTGTAAGTTAGCAAACACCTGCTGTTTCAATGGACTCTGCAAGAATTAAGTCCTCAGGAAAGGGATGAAGCATCCAGGATTGAGTGCAAGTTCTTTCAACATAAACACTTTCATAGAAACAGAATGGACATACCAAATCAACATGTGCTGGTGACATTTTGTTTGCTTTCTTCCTCTGACTGTCCATCTTACCTTACTTTGCTAACACGGAGGCAAAGAATTGATACCAAAACCCACTGATATATTTTATACATAGTATGGATCACAAATTCTGATGTTCTGGGATCAACACTATCTCTCAAAGAGGGGAAAAAAAAAAAAAAAGTCAACTATTTTTGGAGGGCAAAAAAAATCAAAGAAAAAGCTTCCCTTGCCCTTTCTATTTTTTTTTCTAATTTATTTATTTATTTATTTATTTTTATTTATTTATTTAAATTTGGAACATTTCTATATAACAAGAATGAAATATCAAAGATGAGATATGCAATGAAGTATATTAGCAGGTGTGACCAAAATAATTTAACTTCAACAGGGGCATGAACAATGAGGGACAAGGGTCGTAGCACAGTCAGAGGTACACAGAAATATGAAGAGGCTTTTATAGAGAAAGAAAATAAATTACTTAAAGGACAAAATGTTAGTAAGCTCAGCCATGAAACTGATTTGATGATATTTTTTGAAGCCCAATGTCAGGTGAAAAGGTAATATCATGGGGTGGAAGAGGGGTATCACAAATGTCAACTTGTTATTCTTGACACCCAATGAGCTAATCTTAGGTTTAATTTCCATATGCTGTCTGGAACAGCAGTCAGAATTTGTAAATGGAGTCACTGAAGACAAAAGCGGGATGTTCACTTGGAAGGATCAACCCCTAACTTCATGTCTGATAGCCTTTAAATGCATAGAATAGATGTGGTCCCATGAAATGATGTACACTTTCTGCTTTCACAGGCTCTGGGGATATGAAAGCCTCTGAAACCCCCAGGGAAAGCACCTCACCAGACTGAGCCCAGCCCTGGAAACTGGAACATTTTTCCAGGTGTGTCCCAGTGAAACACTTTCAAGGAAAAGATTTTAGGGATGTATCAGCTGCTTCATCTTGCCAAGCTTTTGCATTTCTCTATAAAGTACACACACACACACACACACACACACAAACAAAAAAAAAAAAAAAAAAAAAAAACCCTCTGTAATAGCATGTTTGCATGTCATCCCTTTGACTTAAATTGGCTTGTCTCTTGAAAGATAAGATCAAGAGAGTAAATGCAAAGAAGGGTAACATATAGCCTTTGAGAAAAGAAAGAAACCAGGTGATTAACTTCTAACGAATTGTATGGGAATTTAAGGCACAGAACAAAAGATGAGGCTAAAATCCTCCTTGTAGGTTGAAATGGGTAAGTGTAACATGCAAATGATCCTGCATATAATCCACTGGGTACACTTACAGAGTCACGTTCCAGAAATGTATTGAAAAGCTGTCAAGAAGAATGACTGATTTAATGAATTGTGTCAACACATTTCCAGGAAGCACCAGATTATAATTTGCTCTGCCTTAGTGACATTTTAAGCAACTGAAAAATTGCCTTTACAGTTAGTATTAAACTGAACAATGTTATCAGCTTTTATGATATGGATCTATTTTGAACAAAATTTACTCAGTTCCTATCTCCTTTACTGTACTTCAGACACTATTTTAGAAAAATGTATTTGCACAATGAGGAAATACTCCCCTTTCTCCACATTTTGCCTCAATGCTTTAACTTATTTTTAGGTACCCTTACCACTTGTAAAGATTCTTTTTCTTCTTAATATTTGCTTTGCTGGGGAGGAGGGACAAAGGCATGGGTTTATCACCCTGGTGGGTAAGTCATCTGCAGCTCACAGTTCACCGATACTTCCTGTGTGGTTAAACAAGGAGGGCTTTTATTGTGAGTGGATACAATGAGGCAAGTAACACAAAAATATATCAAAATAAGTGTCTGAACAGGAAAACACTTTCAGCTTGATAATGGTCAAAGAGCTGCCCAACTAGCTCCCATACTTACAACGTGAAAGTTGCCTATTTTATTATCATCCTCAAATCAAGGTGTGGGGGTGGAAGGGAAAGCAAGCAACTGCACTCCAGAGTGTTGCTCCCCACCTGGTGGATGTGCTGGCCTCAGAAGGCTGTGCCTATGCTCCTCACACCTGACCCCAGCCCCAAAGTCCTCCTCACAGGGGAGCTGGGCCAATGCACAGCCACGCATGACGCAAAGCCTGGTTCCAGGAATCTGGTGATGCTGACAGAAGGGAAGATTTCATTAAAAACAAGACATTCTGTCAGCCAAGTATAGAGGCCTCACTTGCTATGGATCTATTCTTCACCAGTGCCTAGGAGCGTCAAATAACCTTTGTTCGGGCAGCTGAGTACTTATTAGGTCCTTCTTTAAAGCAGATTTTTATGCCTGAATGACATGAGCTCATGCTGCAGTCCCTCTTAGGATAGGGCCACACGTACAGTTCTTCCCTCTGCCTGGTGCAGGACCTCGCCTCGCCTCGTCAGATATTGCTGAAATTGGTCAGTGGTTACTGATCCATCCGGGGTCAACGCTCCCACTTTCATTTCCTCTATTTCATCTGGTTCACTTTAGGACTACAAGGGGGCACTCAGGAGCAGATGTTTCCTGTTTTTAAAACTTGCTGCCCAGCATGTCACCGTACCAAGAAGAGCAACCTTCTGTTGGCATCCCGTGGGCAGCTGCCAGTTGGGACGGCTGGTCCTCCCTCCGCCTGGAGGCAAGGCTGTGACCTGAAGAGCAGAGAAAGCTGCTGAGTCCCAGGAGCGGGCCAGGGCGTGAGTTCCAGGAATCCCTGCCACAAAAGCAGCTACTTCAAAGCGATGCTCCTGTTTGTTTGTTTAACTTTGCAGAAAGGATTACACGTGAGGCAGTGAGGCAGTTGAACACAGCGCACTGTATTAATAAAAAAAAAAAAAGAGGACATGGGAAATGGAACTGACAGTAGTACAGTGAGAAGGACGAGCTCCAAACCCCGCCGACCCCCATGCTGACAGACACCCGGGGCCGGCTGGCAGGAGCCCTCTCGGAGCAGCAGCCCGGCTCCTGCCGGCGGGGGCCGCCCAGGCACCTCAGCGCCCCGGCCGGGCTGCGGGGAGCCGGGAGCCGCCTCCCCGCTGCCCTCCCGCCGCCGGCAGGTGGAAGCGGGCTGGGGGCGGCCGCTTCCCCACCCCCGAGGCCGGGGTCCCGCGGCGGGGGAGGGAGCGGAGGAGGGCGGAGCGGCTCCGGCTCCGCTGCCAGCCGCCGTCGGAGCAGAGCACGCCGCGAGAGGCAGCGGGCGGCGGCCGCCCCCATCGCTCCTTCCCTCCATCCCCTCGCCGGGCCGGGGGCGATGGCGCCGTGCCCGCCGCCCGTCCTGCCGGGGGGCGCCGTGGGCGAGAGCGGCCGCTCCGGGGGGCGCTGAGGGCCGGGCCCCGCCGGGGCGAGGGGGCGGGCGGCGCCCGAGGAGGAGCCCGAGCCGGCCGGGCGGCGGGGAGAGCCGGCCAGGCGGGGTGGGGAGAGGTGGGGTGGGGTGTGGTGGGGTGGGCTGGGGGGCTCCATGGGCAGCTCCCGCCGCCATGGTCATCGCCCTCGGCAGCGGCCGCCTCTCCGGTGAGCTCCGGCCCCTGGGCGGCGAGGAGCCGCGGGCGCTGGGCGGCGGGAGGATGATCGCCGGCTCCTGGCCGCCCCGCAGCCTGGCCAAGCTGGGCCCGGCGGGCGCCCCGTCGGAGCTGCCCCCCACCGGCCCCGCGGCCGCCAACGACTCGCAGTGCGGGGAGCAGATCCTGAGCTACGGCAACGTGGAGAAGGTCGTCATCGGGGCCGTCCTCTCCCTCATCACCCTGCTGACCGTGGCCGGCAACTGCCTGGTGGTCATCTCCGTCTGCTTCGTGAAGAAGCTGCGGCAGCCCTCCAACTATCTCATCGTCTCGCTGGCCCTGGCCGACCTCTCGGTTGCCCTGGCCGTCATGCCCTTCGTCAGCGTGACCGACCTCATCGGCGGCGAGTGGATCTTCGGGCGCCTCTTCTGCAACGTCTTCATCGCCATGGACGTCATGTGCTGCACAGCCTCCATCATGACCCTCTGCGTGATCAGCATTGACAGGTGAGCAGGTGTGGGACCACTGCCAGTCCCTTCTGACACCCTGGTGGCCCTGCTGCCACGCCAGGGGCAGGTCACAAGCTCTGAGTCCCCTTGCACCCTCAGGGCTCCATCAGAGCAGCGGGTGCTGCCTGCTGCCAGCACCGTCCACACGCCCCAGTACCCCCTGCCTAACTTGGTGGGTCTTTGCAGAGGCTGAGAAATGTGCAGGATACCTCTTAAACTCCTTCGTGGTATGGCTAGGGTTGGGCTGCTTCTAAAGCTAGTGCCAGCACAAGCAGCCTGAGTTCAGTGGAGTTTCACCAGAGCAGAGAAGGCTCAGGACTTGCAGCTTATCAGGTTTTTACTGTTATTTTAGTACTCCCTGAGATGAGGTCAGTTTCAACTAACAGAACTGTTTTGGCCAAATAACCACACGATCGAAGGAAAAATAGCTCTCATGTATTTGCATTTTTGTATATGTATCTGCAATCCCCTTAAAAAAAAAAAAAAAAAAAAAAAAAGGAAACCACCACTATGAAGCTGTCCTCACTGGTGTTTCATGTCTTCCAAAAGCAGCTCCAGGCAGGCACTGGAGCAAAAGGGAGTATACAGACTGCAAGAAGAACTTAGGCATTTCTGATAGCCATACGTCAAATCTCGTATTTTGCTCTCGGCTAACAGGTTCCTTTATTCCATGCAGGTCCCACTCTAAAATCAGATGCAGCCTGTAACTTCCCTCTTCCACAGCCTAAATCCTATACCAGTCATTTTAGCATCTCGAGGGAGACTGTTTTCCTTACAACTCAACACAACTAGCAGAAACTGAAGAACTTTTGAACTAGGTTGTAAGAGTTTATCAGAGTCCAATATCCAGCCCCGGCTGACTAGTGCAGAAAGTTTTTAGATACAACTCTGCATTAGGTTTCTGCAAAGAAACAGCCTTTGGTTATTGTGGGAAGGTCTGTTTCCTGCCAAGGATCATCACAGTTTATATTCATTTCAAAACTTTCAAAACTTCATTTCTTTATAAGCATTTCCTGCCCTGAATGCTTTCTGTTTTGTGAATTCTGTAATGGCTAGCAGTTACCTAATGCTGCGAAGCACTTTGTAGCAATGAAATCTACATACTAACTTTGAGTATCAAAGGATTTTGTTATTGCCTTGAAATCTTTTGTTCCCATCTTTTAACTTAATTCTAGTATTGTAAGAAAATACGAGTAAGCTTATGTTCCTTCCCAACATTATTCTGTTTTTCTATCCCAGTAACTTTTAAGATAGCTCATTTCATTTTTCCACACTCTCAGCATATTTTCATTCTTTGATCATTCTTGAGATTAATGTCTGAGCTCTCCATCTCTATTTCTAATAACCTTTTTAAGACAGGTTAACACAATTAAGCTTTCTTATCCAATTAAGGATGTGTGATATAGTAGCATTGGAATAATTCCATTTTATGCTTTTTCATTGCTTAGCTTAACATCTGAGATCACTGCTGTATGCTGAGCCTGGACTGGTCACAGTAATGATCAGGTCTCTCACTTTCCCCCAAACAAATAATTACAAGAGATACAGCTCTATATTTAGAACAGAATATAACCTATTATGTATTACTGCTTTTCATTAACAAGTACTGTTTTAAAACAGAATTATTCTCTTCTAGTGTTTGCAAATTCCTGCTTCTATTACTGAACGCTTATTGATCACAGTCTCTTCATCATTCATTATACTGTTGTCAACTCCCTATTTGAAGTCAAAATTATGTCAATCATGATGCTTTAACCTTTGCTACCCAAATCCATTATGTAGTTAAGATAGGTGATGTTGTAAAGAGGAGGCAAGCTAGCAATTAATTAGCAAAATGTCTTTACCACTTGGCAATAAAGAATTTAAAAACTCCATGATTTGCAACGCAATTTAAAAATAAATAATCTTATAGTGTCATAACACTGCTCAGACAGACCAACGATTAACATGAGATGTTAACTTATCTTTGAAAAGTGTGTATGTTGAAAATGTGCAGACCAAAGAGATGATGAAAATTAAATGTGAACGATGAAATATCACCACTGTTGGATTGATTTAATGGCTCTAGCTTACATAGAGTTGTTTACATTTGTGTAGTAAGGAAAGCTTTAATTATTCAGTGATGGAAACATACCTCTGAAAAAAATGAATTCTTCTAGATGAAGTATTGTATATGGTACAGGAGTCTGCAAATCTCCTGTGTATGTGTATATAGTGCATTAGAGGTTCAGGCCATTTTCACAAGGACTGTATTCTCAAGGACCCTTTTCCATGGGTTTGGTGCAAACACTTGCATGTTTTATATTTTCTAGGAGGAGAAGATCTCTGGTGATAGAGCCCTTATAATGCCAGTGCAAAGAATACAAATATGACACCAACCAGAAAATCCAGAAGCAGGTCAGGAGTGAATGACATCACCATCTTTCAACTTGGCCACTGTCCTGGGTGCCATCAGATACACTTCTTGTAGCACAATTAAGTGGTCCTGTTGTCACATTTGCTAAGGGAGAATGATTAAGATAGGGTAAAACTGAACATTTTTTTGAGAATAATTATGCACTGGACTGCCACCTGGCTCTTTAGGATAGTTTTGGAAGCATTTGTCATCTAGTAAAGTCTCTCCTGAAGGGAAAGCTGCAGCTGTTGCAGGCAGGGCAGAGACAGCAGATAAGTTAGATGTTCTTGCATTGTCATTGTTAAACTTCTAAGATCTTCCTGAAAGAGATATCAGATATACCTTTATCAAGGTAAATAGCTGAAAAAAATGTTACTATTGAATTAATCTTTCAAAAAAAAAAAAGGAGGGGGGGGGTCACTACAAACTGTTAGGCAAGGTTTTTAGGGAGAGGTAGTGTGGTTTGATAGACAAACAAATATAGCTTGTAAAAAAAGAAGCTTGAAGCCCTTCCAAACAGGATAAAGTGAGTAAATTCAGGAGGCTTTTTGATTTGTTTCTCTTGTACAGATATATGCTATTTGGCTCGTGTCACTGAATGCCAGCAGCTGGCAGGCCTACTGCACAAAGTGTGAGAAATTTTGCTGCACAGCCCTCAATGGTGGATGCATTTTTCAGCTAGATTTCTCTATCAGTTGGAAAGCTCTTAGAGATGTGGATTATCACGGAGTCTGCCAATGGACTGGTTTTATTCTGTTGGGGGAAAAAAAAAAAACAACACATTTTTTTCCTGACTGCACACATCCTGGGCAGTCTGTTCCAAAGGAGTGTGTTACTGCCAGAAATAATCCAGAAACGTCTCATATTATGCCTCTTTCTTTTCCTTTCCCTGTTGTTTCCCTTTATTTATTTATTTCTATGTGTAAGATTAGCTAGAGAAAACAGCATGGCTCTAAAGAAAACAGCATGGCTCTAAAAGTGTTAGCAAAATGCTTCACTCATGTTTGTAGACAGTTGTCTTATAGAGAGGCCTCCAGAACAGCAAATGGGAGATTAACATGTTCTTTTACAGCAATAGTAGAGTGACCCAAAACATGAAACGTCTGACTCCAGGGATAGGCATCAACATTAAGTTTTTCATCCTCGCTACTCTATGTCTAAACACAGGTTCCCAAATAGGATACATACATACTGCGTTTTTAAATTGACATTTGAAATTTGCATATAAACACCAAATGTCTAAGGGCTGGCTTAATTCAAGAATAGTGCTCTTGAGGACAAGGATGTGAGATTCAAACAAAAACTCAAAAAATCAAAAAAAATCATTTTAAAGAGTCTGAATAGAACTGCTTGTACTTTTTAAGTTGCTTCTACTCTAAGTTGTACAAATGTTAAGACTGCAAAGTATATGCTAGTATGCTAAAATGCAGAGCTCCAGCTTTGTACAGGGTGCACATGCTAGTCTGAACAAGTCATTTTTGTTATCTACAAAGAACTAAATTTTGTGGCAATCATGAGGTAATGTCTGTAACGATGCAAATTTTGGACCATTATGCTTTTTTCAGTTCATATCTTTCCTTCTATTTCACAACACAAAACCCTTCTTTATTAGGGTGACCTGAGATGAACATGTTATTTTTGAGTTATCTCTACCTTATTTAAGCCCTCACTTTGGGAGGAAGCTATCTGCTTATGGACAGGTCTGTCAGAAGTAAAAACAGACATGACAGGGAGACCAGCATATTTCTACCTTTCCAAATTTTGTAAGGATCAAACAGGCATGACAGCTTGATACCTGGATAATCAATATTACCCTCACTATTTTCATGATATGAGAGGTAGCGCTGGAGAAAGGTAGCAGAGAGACTTTGGTAAGATAATTGTGCCTCAATGAATCGTGCCTCCGTAACCTACTTTAAACATTTCTTATTAGCTTTTTTTTTTTTTTTTTTCTCCTGAAGGTCCACTTTGCTGGCTCTGAAATAAATAAAATATACCACAATTAGATTCCTTTACATTTAAGAGTGTCTGAATGTTGCGAGTCAATTACAAGGGAAAGATGCAAACTATTTCAGTGGGTGAATGAACATGGAAAGGGAATTAATTGAATTTAAACTGGTGTTGTTTGCCTGCTGATTCATCACGTTCTTCTGACCCAAGATAGCTACAGAAATCCTATTTTGGAGACTATCCACTGAATAACTGCATAAGTAGCAATTTTTAATTCAATTTAAAAATAACTCTTTGGCTTAGAAAGTAATAAAGTAACATAACTATAGCTGAAGAATTATAACACTTTCCCCACACCCACATAAGTAATGAAACATTTTTGGGGGAACTTTTCCAGTCTGCATCTCATCCAGCAATTCATGAGTATTCCAGACTGGCATTAAATTGATGAGGATTTTCAATTCTTATGCAAATGGCACAATAGTGGAGCTTTTTGTTGTTCCTGAGCTTTTTATACACAAGGAACAGTTTTCTTACCCCTCCCTGTGTGATACCTTTTACAATGCCCAAAATAAGTACGAATGCTTATGCTTCACCTTAGAGGATGTCCCTCCCTAGATGCTTACCCATTTCACGGTTCCTTGGTGCATGC